AGGGCAATATATTTATTTATTGATAAAAAAAAAAAAAGGTACAAAAAGAATTGCAGCTACGAAGCATGCAGGAGGGACTGGACTTCAAAATTTACAACTTCACCTTCGCGCTGTGCTCGTTTGCACGTTTGCACATTTGAACATATAAATATATATATGTACACATATAACACATGGAAGCAAAGCAGGAGTCTGAAACAAAAAAAAAAGAACAAAATGCAGGCAGCTCTCCGCATGCACGGATACACACATATATTTTTTGTGGTAGAAAAAATGGTGACCCTATTAACAGCAAGGAGGAGGTGATCAGGGGGAACAAGAACAAATTACAGCCCGAAAAATACAGCCCGAAAAATACAGCCCGAAAAATACCGCCGAAAAATAAAGCGCAAAAATGAAGCCTACATTTTGCGCACATAATAAAACTAGTTCGAAGGATATTTCGCCCGCTTAAAGATAAATGAAGACGAGGGCGGTTTTAAAGTACGCGAAGAGAAGGGGCATACCATAAGAAGGGGAGAGGTGGGGAGGACCATCGTTACGGGCCTTAACTGTATGCACAGCTATACACTCAAACGTGTGTACATGTGTGTACTCGCCACAGCTTGTGCAGCCGTGTCTTCAAATTTTGCGGAGCATGACTGGTTCTGTGTACGCATGTACGAGCGGGTGTACGTGTAAGGTACCTAACGTAGGCGTACGTAGGGTTACCTGTTCAGGGTGAAAAAGGTGGTTGCTTTCTGTTTAGCTTCAAAATTGGCATATGTGTGGGGTTTACCAAAATGGAGATTCAGTTTTTTTTTTTTTTTTTTTTTTTTTTTCTGTCCGATAATGTTACCATGGAGGGTACCATATACGTACCTTTTGCGTATCTCACATTTGTGAATTAATTTTTTTTTTTTGTCTCACTGTGTGTTTGGGGATAAATAACTGCGGCGAGAACCTTCGCGCGCAGCAGAGCATGAAGTGAACTCCAAGCTCTGTTGCATACAGCCAACCGTTTGGTGGTACTACACATGCATAAAGATTATTCAAACGTGTGTTGAGATAACAATGGAGGTGTTCGTGGGAAGGGGCATATGCACGTTGCGTATTTTTAAAAGCAGACATTCTGTTGAAGGGTAGTATGGGGTGCGCCATTCCAAGTGATGGTTTTTTTTAAAAAGCGGCTGCAACGTACCTACATGCGTAGTTGCACTGCGTAATAGTAGTGCAGCGTACTGTACGTACGTACGTACGTACATACATACATACATACATAAAAAAAAAAAAAATTATTTATTTTTGCCATTGACACACCCCTATAATAATTGCCGTAAGTATGAAATGCTTATCATCCGCACATGTAGTTACAAAAAGTACCTTGCAAATTATAATATGATCGTATGCATAGGTCATTTGATTCGTTCGCAGGAGAAAGGGTAACAATCTCTTTAATGAACATCCAAGTGAAAAGGAACTAAAACGCGGTTAGTCTTTTATATGAGCCCATGAGAGAAAAACCTAGGCGAGCAGACATGGATGATGCCACTGGCGCATTTTTGTCAGCACTTTTTTTTTTTTTTTTTTTTTTTTTTTTTTCCTTTTTTTTTTTTTTTTTTTTTTTTTTTTTTTTTTTTATGTCATGGAGGATTCCTTCATCATTTTTTTTTTTTTTTTTTTTGTCATGGAGACATAAACATCCCTTGGCACATATGGCAGGCAAAATACCCATATGGATTAGAATTAGCACTAGGGGATAGAACGTTTCGTGTACTCCGTCTTGTCTAGGCAGGGTAGAGAAAAGCACATCGTCGAGTACAGATTCCCGGCTCTCCACCCCCACCGCCCCCCTCCCTGCCTAAACGTTGTGCGTGCGTGCCACGTAATGCATTATAATATTATAATATATATATATATATATGTAGATGATAAGGTGGTCCTGCATGCACGCCTGAGTATTTGATAAGCCATCATCCTGCCTGCACGGAAAGCGCCAAGTTAGTGTTTTATACCCCTGTGTGGATGAAACCCTGAACCTATATTTTTTTTAAACGCAGAGAGCTGCTATTTGTATATAACATCTTGCTAAGGCGTACAGAGTTTCAAGGGGTCCTTATATATATATATTATTACGTATACAATTATAATTATCCGTTGTGTATATTTTATAAAAATATTGCCATCCGCACGTGTAGCGGCCACGGCGCTCTTCCCCTCCTCCAAGAAGGCACAAAAAAAAAAAAAAAACACTCACAAACGACAATTAGCCAATTTGTAACGACATCCAAGGATGAAGCTTGTAGAGTTTAGAGTAACTATGCCTCTGTCCATGGAGGAGTATAATTTGTGTCAGCGTTACCTGCTAGCAAAAATGACTTGCGAAGATGCAGACAATGCAATAACAGGAATGGGGTGCAATAACAGAACGGATGGAAAGAGTCTAGTGCTGTTTAAAAAAGGGAAAGCTGAAGATGAGAATGGGGAGACAGTAGATTACACATTCAAAAGAATGAATCTTGTAAATAAGGTACCTAAATGGTTACAAAATTTTGTGGACCCTAATTATTGCCTGATAGACGAGAAGTCATGGAACAATCACCCCAAGTTAAGGACTGTGTATGAAGCTCGTGGTTTTCCTAGGGCACGTGTTGAGGTAGATTCAACTTTTCGTCCTGGTCACAACACAGAGGATAATGTCTTTAACCTTTCAGATGAAGTATTGGCTGAAAGAAAAGTTATTTTAGTCGACATAGTAAAGGATAGCGCGTACTGCAGGGAGTACTACCCTGAAGAGGACCCCACACTTTACTATAGTGAAAAGGCACAAAGAGGAAAGCTAGATGATAATTGGATTGAAAAAAGCAAAGTGCTTATAACATGTTATAAACTCTTCCATATTGACATTCCCTACTTTGGAGTGTTTTGTTCTAAGTTAGAAAATTGGATCGTGAGTGCTATTAAGGAGAGCTTGGTGAAATATCACCGTAAGTCCTTCTGTTGGATTGACGAATGGGTTGACTTATCTGAAGAGCAAATACATAAGTTTGAAGAAGAAATAATAGAAAGGATAGAAAATTTTTGGAAGGAGATAGGACTAGATGTGGAGACAGATTCAACTTTGGCTGTTCAATATATGGCTGAACGACAAGCTCGTGGTATATACCCACAAGTTTCTTATACCTGTCTCCATGGTGATAACAGTAGTAAAAATTGCAATTCTAGCGATAGTACCAAGAGTGATTCTTCCTCTGCTTCCTCCTCAAAATGTTGTGCGAAAAGTGGTAAAGACAATGGTACTACAACGCTTTATCATGCGAACGTTACTAAAGCTCAGTTGAAGAAATGCTCGCAGCTCAAATCGGTGAAGAAGGGAAGAAACGGTAAGAAGAAGAGGAAAAAGGTAAAGGGCGGAGAAGAGGGTAAAAAATGTAAAAAGTGCGCCAAGTCGAAGGGAAACGTAAAACAACAACAAGAACAGGGACAAGTAAATGGAGAGGAGAAACAGGCCGGAGAGCGAGAACAACAGAAGCTTGATTCATGTCAACGTCAGGGTAACCACACAGAAGAAGGAGTATGTTCGAAACTCAGAGGACCTGATGCAGCAACGAATGACATGGAAGGTGATGTGGAGAAATTACAATCGGGAGAAGAAACACCGACAACCGATTCGCACACGTTGCATGAGGACGAGGAAGAGGATGAACAGGGGGAGGAGGACGAGGACGAGGACGGAAGCAGCGGCGATGATGATGATGAGGATGACGATGAGGACGACGACGATGAGGATGGTGAGGAGGACGAAGACAGCAGTGAACACGTGGACCATGAAGAACATCCCACGAGTAGAAAAAAGTCCAGCGCTAGTAAATCGATCAAGGGCAACAGCTCAAAGGGACAGACGAACAGGACAAATTCCAAGCACTCCGTATCCTCAAGTACAGACCAAGAGAAAAACGTGGAGGAGGTAGAAGAAGAAATAGAAGAAAGCGAAATACTCGCTACATCCAGTGATGCAAATATTAGAAGCCGCATTTTGCGGGAGGTGCATCATGTGGACGAGGATATTCTTCTAAGCGAGGAGCCGCAGCAGCACGGGAAGGAGAAAGAAGGAGAGGTAGTAACCCCCATGGCAGGAGTAACAAATGACCGTGATAGTATCGTGCAGAAGAACTTAAACAAGGGTGTGGTTAAAAAGGGCATACAACCCCATGATGGTATGGTGCTGCATGCAGAGTATTTACGCGAAGAGGATGAAGAAGGGGATGGTCTATGGAAGTTAAACCACGTCTTCATTAGCAGAAATAAAATAAGTTTTGAGGAGGAAGGAATAATGATCCCCTGGTCAAGGAAACAATATCTGAAGAGTCTGAATGTAATGAGGATGGGGAAATTTAAAGGGCGTGATGATGTACTTGTGAGAAACGGCTTGCCCAGCAGGATGAAAATGTTAAATAATGAAAAGAGAGTGCAAATGAATAAGTGTAAGATGACTGATGCGGAGAATAATGGTGAAGGAGGAAATGATCTCTTTGCCCCAATTGATTTAGATAGTTTTTACGGACTCCAAGGGGAAGGAAGACGGGAAAGTACCTTCTGGAATGAACATTCAGCACAACATAATGATGCGGGGGCCATTTTAAAATCGTTTAATGTGGTTAAGAATAGCATGAAGGAAAAACAAATGATGAACCAGTACGCACATCATATAGGGGGTGCACACAATTACAGGAGAAACGTGAGACGCAATGATAGCAACATATCTCTGTCCCTCTTTTATGTAATCACAATGATGTCTTTTGTATATATATTCATGTCGATTTATAAAAGGTTTAAGTCTCTTTTTTACGTGCTCTTGTGTGCATTTATATGCGCATGTGCATTCTTGTACCATGAGTACTGGAATCACTCCTGCCTACACCGTGGTATTAATTACAAATTTTCCATGACCACACCAGCGAGCATTAACCCAGTGACATCCCTCCTGGCTACTGAGAAGAAACAAGACCCCCGAGAAGAGTTTTATAAGAACCTCTACAATAGCGTTTACAATAACCTGTACGAGCTGAACAAGTCAACCCTGAACTTTGCTTCCAAGTCCCTCAATGTACAATTTCAGAGCTCCATTTTTAGCAACCTGAATGAAATGTTTCCCCCCAGGAATGTGCAGGATTCTCCATACATGGACGACTTATAGGGGGTTAACAAAAAAAAAAAAAAAAAGAGAAGAATTGGATTGACGTTATAAAATGAAGGATGACTTGGCTAGTCGGATGAAGTTAACCTGGCAGTGATGTGAAGCGTTTTTTTTTTTTTTTTTTTTT